AGGATAGAGTTGAAGATTCACCGGAATATCGCCTTGTTTGAACCTGTAACAAGTTACCAAAATTATCCGAAAAAAAATCACCAAGAGCATCGGGCAAAACCGGCCTGCTGTAGAAGTAATCCTTTCAACAAACTTGTGTTCTAACAAAATTCTTTTGAAGCTTCGTATAATTACCGTACTAACCCTAAGCAAGACAGAGCTTTTGCAGAAATTTCGACATTTTTTCTTTTCCTCACTTCACTCCCTACCCCTTGCCACTACAACTTGTAATACAACTTTCTTTTTACAACTATATCTAACAATGAAAAAGATGATTACAGATACGACGCTTAAGTGCAGAACTCCCAGACAAGAAACTGCTGCAACCTACGGCGTCGATTTAAACTCCCCTGTAAGAACAATTGAATGAAGAGATCAAGGAGATATGGATCAGAACACAGCAAAAATGCAGCTGGCAAAATGCCACCTACGATCTGGCGTAAAAAATTGGTTGAACCAAGAATTCTTATGTAGTACCAAACCGTCGAATTAAAAAAAATGAGAAAAATGGAAATGAAAAACAGTACTCACACTGATGCTTTATCTTTGTACTGTGGCATTCTGGTGAGGCGAGCTACAGTTTGTAAGCATCCCAAAATGTACATCAAATTGGCGTGCTCAGCAACTGTGCTCTGTTGAAAGAGGATCGTTTTTTCAGGATCCAATCCGCATGCCAAAAGGCTCGCTGCCATTTTCAGGATATTATCTCGCATCTATAACTACTGACATAACACAATGTAGATTTCATAGGCAAAAGAAGCAAACAGGTATACATTGATCAAAGACGTATATGACTTAATGGACCGAAACATCTTAACTCTTTCGTACTTATTTTTCCCACACCAGCTATATTTCTACATCCACCAATACATAGTTCGTTCTATGCCTGTCCTATTTAAGTTCTTAATATTACTTGCAGGCTACGATCATGATACAATCAGCTTAGTTGGCCAGCTTCAAAAAAAAAAATGCCTTACTTGATCAGCTTCAACAAAACCCGTCGAAATTGAATGATAATCGGCTATTGACAAAAACATTTGTTTTGGCTGGGCATCCTGAAAGAAAATGGCGAAAATCCACCACGTCAAAAATCTTTTTTTTTTATTAAATTATCTTTTAAACGTGCTAGAAACGCCCTACAAGCGGTTACTCCTTTCCATCATGACCGGTCCCACTTCCCTCATAAATTATTTAAAGAAGTACGAAATAAACTTGTAATCCCCAAAAATTCGTTATAAATAAGTCGTTCGAGTGGCAAGTTTTTTTTTTGTTTTTTAATGTTTCGCTATCATTGGATATGCTCACAAGTTGCATTTCACTGTTTAGTCCTTCAAATACGTAACTAGCAATTCCTCTAGTTGAATAAAGTCAACGAGTTGACGATCCTGAAGTTCATTTCTTTGAAAGGCTACCAACCCTGATTTGAATTGTTTTTTTATGCGTTTTGTGCTGTGTAACAGCAGTACAAAACGCATATTGTTACGGGGTTGTCT